CATTCCGGTCTTGGGTAGGGCCGGCCACAGCGGTAATCGTGATTGCGTCTGCGGACGACGATATTGCCTGCCTGACAGGTAGAGAAAAAAGCAAAGAAACATCATCAGCACGCAGAATTGGTCCGCAGACAGCCGCTTTCCCCGGACGAGTTGGAATGGGGGCTGATTGCAGCCGACCAACACCCATCAGAGATACCAATGCCACCTGGCACGAATAGGACATCGACCCGGATAGTCTCTGGCTGCATCTTCCCTACAAAAAGTTGAGCGACGTCAGCAAATAGTTACCCACAGTTGCATAATTTTTTCTTAGGCCCTTTTCTTCTGTCTTCAGATCATGGAGCCAATGATACCATACCCGGACAGTAGCGGTGAGGGATAGGTCGCTCGATGGTCGGCCATGAAAGACTGACTCATTTGCATCGACTACCCGCTAGCGGCGCCGGAGGTACGGCATCATCAAGCTTCTCGAAGGCCAAACGGAAAGGGCAGAGGCCGTTAATAAGGCATCCGGTTGCGAAAACCTGCTGCCGTGAGGTTGCGTCGACGGGTCCGTTTCCACCTGCGCCGGGGCGTTTGGGACGCCGCTAATGCACCCAATTTTGGTCGCCGCTGGCCCCGGGCATGTGAAGTCTACCGTCTCATGTTGCGGCTACGATAATCCCCGGCTCGCGTAGGAAGTGCTTCCACAGTTTGTTCCGGAATCATGATGCTGGTCTGTTACAGGGAATTCCTGATGACTCCTGGCTGACCGAGCGAGCCCATTGTGTTTCGTTGGGAAAGGCAATTGTCCTTAGTATTCTGCAGAGGCATCTAAATTCCAAAGAACCCAAGGAGAGAACGTTGCCCGGTAAGGACACCAAAGCACAGCGGCTGGCATCTCTGTCCGAGCCGCTCGATGAAATCGAGTTCCACCGTCCGTGGGGAGGCCGCGTCTTGTCCTTGGCTTGAACTGGGCCCGATGGCAAATTGATGACAAAAAAGATGTTGGTTTCGGCCACTCAGCAGAAGGGCCATGGATGGCGCTGTTTAAATGCGTTTGGCGGAATGGCTTCCGACCTGGGATGTCACGCTACATGTGTGTGCATGTATTCTGGTTATAGACAGTGACTTTGGTGTGTTATAAGGTAGTTTACCAGTTGGCATCTATATCGGAATCGCATGATTGTAGGACGGGTTGCTAGTGCAGTGATGCTGTGGAGACAACGGCAACAGCGGTTGCGATCCAGACTCTATCGACCAGGTACACTGTTCACACGCTTTCCCAAGCTTGAGGCGAAAATACGGATGAAGATCTTCGAAAGCTGACGGGAAAAAGGATCGAAGCTCGGGTTCCAGACTGGGCCATCAGTGACATGCTAGGAATCGGAAAGGAAGGTCCCAGGATAACGGACGGCTGTGCGGAAATGATCGGATAAGATGGTCTCGAAACATTCGGACAGAATCTGATGGGGTTGCCAAGAAGATGGAGCCGTCCATGCCAGGGTCGAGTCCTTCATATGTCCTGGTATAGGCAGATGTAGGCATACAGATACTTTGGTTATATGTATTGGTTCACTGAGGTGCCGAGTCTCGTTTGGGAGGATTCGTGTTTGGCCGACATTGTGGTGTGGTAGTGGGATGAGTCGGCGGCTGCTTGGATCTCGGTATGGATTGGCGCTTGAGATGAACGGGATATCCTAAGTGATACGGCTCGTTTCCTGTCGAGAGCGCGGGGGCACATGTCGTTCACAGGGGACTTTTGAAGTGTGATTCGACGGCGACCCTGGCCGCGGCCGTGACTCAATGCGAAGTGATAGCAGAATGTTGCGGCGGCGGTTTGCCTGTCTCCCGGAACGTTTTGGCTCGATGGGAATAGTGAACGGGCGAGACCTCTCGACGTAATGGGTGGGATGGAAGTTGATAATTGACGGAATGGCTCAGCTGTAGGACCCGATCGTTGCTGGTGGCTGAAGCTCATACATACGCAGTAAGGTAGGAAGACGCGAAACCATGCTGCCTGTCAGACAGGTACCGGACAAGTGGGCTGTGACATGTAAGCCCTCAACAGAATCAAGTAAGTGAAGTAAGTACAAGTACAACCTGTGGGTGCAGGTATAGCACGTAGGAGTACTCCTGAACATCTGCCGCAACGACTTGATCGTTCCGGTTTGGCCCAGGTTTGAGCATTATTGGACCTGAGCAAAGTGCTCTATCAAGGCCATGCTGTATATGGGTGCCGATGTGGATATGGGAGGTATTAATTTTGTGTCAACTAGGACGGGAATTGGTAGTCCAAGGAAGTACGGCCAAGACATCGGGTGGTCTTGGTAGTGCCTGTACTCTAGAAATTGCTTTGCAGAAAAAGAGTAATGCATGGGCCGAATGCATCTAGAAGCAAAATAGGAGCAGGAATGGTATGTTCTACCTCAGAAGATGGGTGGAGTGGAGGGACGGCTGTACGCCGCAGTTCGCCTCAAGCGGCCTGTTTAATTTGAGCTGGGGGACGTTTGAAGGAGCAAGCTCGAAGAGTCTCTGTACGTGGGCAAAAGTAGGTATCTCCCGTAGCAAAGGTACCTTGGCAATGACTACCTTACCTGCCTCGAGACCGGATGGAGCAGGAAAGAGCTCATGAGCCTCGAGGTAATTAGTCCCTGCTTCCATTGTCACGAATGAGGATAATCGTGTGGCAGGTCCCCACCTACCTACCTTGAGGCCTTGGGCTGGGGAGATGGTAAGGTAGGCAAGAACATTCCTGTGCAAAGTCAGACACTTCAGTATTGTTACCAACCAGGCAGGGTACTCTTCCTTGCTGCGTGCCCGAGTGTGCTTCTTGACCTCGACCTCTTCTGCCATATCGACAGCTCCTCTGCTCCACATCAGCTCATTCGCGCCTCCTATTATACACCCTTGACGTGTTCACCAAAAGCACGATAATTCGGACGTTCGAAACGAGCTGAGATGTTTCCGGTATCATCGGGTCTTCAGGACCCTACCTACTTCAAGCTTCAATCACTAACCCGGAAGGCAGCGTGATCCGCAGAAATCAACACCGGTGCTACTCTCGCTGGCAGCACTGAGAGCCAACGTCGCCGCAACTTCGCTATGGCGCAAGCTGTATTCGCAACCAAGCCGTTGACGGCCCTCCGGGTTGTTCGAAGAGCCTGCCGTTTCTAGTTTCCTTCGCGCTACCCGTACGGGCCCATACGGGGATTGTGGTGATGAAATAGCACGGCATGTTTGTACCACCTACACGCGCATGCAGGACACTGCACCACATTTGCCATTCATCGCTGTGCTCCTCCTCATCGGTGTCGGACAGGGAAAAGACAAGGGCCCTGGTCCAAGGCTAAATGTCTTCCGGTTCTAGTACTTCGTCTCTTCAGAGCAAACCACATTCACAACCAAAGTTCATGTCGTCGACCTGCAGACTACCTAGACAGGTTTCCCTGCGGCGCTTGACGAAGCTACACACCGAAAACCAGCTCACACCCTCCAGGGCCATGACATGATTTCTATGCGCAGTTTCTCGACGAGGGAAAGGGCCACAGTAAGAAGGAGAAGACAAGGAATTCCGCTATCATTGATTCACAGCTCGGATGATAACGTGCCATGCAACATTCAGAGGCTTCCTCGCGTTTGTGCTAGGCTGCCTGGCGAGGGTGAAACAGAGACAGCTTGTGTCACGGTCCCTTTCTCGGAGGTGGTGGCATGGTGGGGAACTGCTTCTTGCGCTCCCTGGTCCGTTCGTCCACGGTCCAAGGTCCCCTGCCTTGGGATATGGAGGGGTTGTTGCTGCTGCGATGGAGGGGCAATCAATTTTGGCTGAAAGACATCCCACCTCCCACCTGCGCCGTTGCCGGCTTACCATTTGCTATTACAGCCAGATACGATATCGCGCGACCTGAGAGACGAGAAACAGCCCAGAAAGGAATCAAGTCTTCCCAGCATCTATTGGTTGCTCATCTGCGGAAACCACGGCACCTCTCTAAGGTATCTCCGAGTCAACATGAAATCCCTTGAGCCATATGTTTCAACACAGCAGGTTTCCCAAGCTGGGCGGCAATGAAAAGGCAGAGAGGGCATCGAAAGGCAGGCCTGGGGAGTCGGGAGAGACAAAGGAAAAGCAAAGATAATGGAGGCTCGCCATCCTATCTAAGGCATGTCCCGAAGCGCCTTAAATGAGCTTTTCCTATCAAGCCTTGGACCAGCTTGGCCATGTACCCTCATCGCTGTCATTTTCGCGGCGGACCACTCTTGGGCAAGTTGGAATCGACCTGCCCACTTCGCACCACACGTAGTGACACCCTACCCGTATCACAACTCTCCACTTCCTAATCGATGGTGCGCGTTCACACTCACTCTCACTCTCACTCTCACCACTCTCCGGAGGCTACGCTACCCAGTCGCTCTAGTAGATTTTTTCTTCCTTATTTTTCTCTTCCCGTCTCTGCTACCTCCATGATCCCTGACCATACACAGTTGATTCTCTGTGCCCAAGGTATCTTATTGACCTTCCTGCACGCCGTATGCCAGCCTGCTTTCGTGATTTCATGCCTTGTCTTACTCTCCACCCCCGGCGAGCCGAGCTGGACTAGCCTGCCATTCTCTTTCCCACACTCTTTTCTCACACACCTCAGTTCAGTCCCGACAAGTACGAGGTACCTTACACACACTGGACACCACGCACACCTCCTCACCCCTCCATGACCCCTCGGTCAGAATAAGGAACCGGTACCTAGTAACTCCGTTGTCTGAGTAGCTCCAATACAATCTCCACGTACCCTCAGCACCTTGTCTACCTTTGCGTGCTAGCCAACCTAACCTTACCGTCGTTTTTTACCACCTGCCACTTGTTCGTGTCCCACACCCCTCCTCTCTCGCTCACACTCAGTCTATTCTCCGGGATCCGACCCCAAAATTTTCTTCTGCCAACCTAGATACAGACTCATATCATTACTTTCCAACCCGCCCAGAAGACCTTCTTAACCCGCCTGTTCCTCCCCTCTCCTCTCTTCACAATGTCCTCCGAACAACTCCCCCTCTCAAACGACGCCTCTGCGGCTACAGTTAACCCTTTGGCCGCCCACCCCGTCCACCCTCAAGATGCCCAGGGACGACAGCCCGCCGCCGCCTCCGCCGCCTCCTCCGAACTCGCCAGTGGGAAGGTGAAGCTCACGGGCGCCCTGCGTCACTTTGCCGATTTCCCCATCAAGGGCATCGACTTTGTCGACATCATGCCCCTCTTCCTCGACCCCACCGTTCACCAGACTCTCGGCGATGCCCTTGAGTTGCAGGTCAAGGAGGGTTTCCCGACTCTCCCCGATGTCATTGTCGGTCTCGACGCCCGTGGTTTTCTTTTTGGCCCCGGCATGGCCCTCCGTCTCGGCACCGGCTTCGCCCCGGTGCGCAAGCAGGGCAAGCTGCCCGGCCCGTGCGTTACCGCCGAGTACCAGAAGGAGTACGGCTCCGACTTCTTCCAGATGCAGCAGGATGCCATCAAGCCTGGCCAGAAGGTTCTGGTCGTCGACGACATTATTGCTACTGGTAAGCTACATGCTATGTGCTGAATTGCGCATCTTTCCCCCGAGGATGGTTCGTACAGGTCCACTAACACGATATAGGTGGTTCCGCAAAGGCTGCGGCCGACCTCATCAAGCAGCTCGGCGGCGAGATTGTCGGCTACCTCTTCATCTTGGAGATTCCCGGCCTGAACGGCCGTGAGAAGCTCGGCGACACCAAGACCGTCATCCTCCTCGAAGACGCATAAATAACACTATGAGAGTGGGCCATATGGACCTTTCATAGAAGCCCGATGATCAGCACATATCTTCGATGGGCGGGCTGTTGTCTCCGATTCAACTTGGCACGGCCTGAGCTCTCGAAAGTACATAGATACCTGCCGTGGGATGACTGGCTTTGGCACCAGCCAGAAGAAGTGTCAAGGTCAACGAAAAGTAGTCTCTTTTCTTGGAATCTGATCTATTTCGATGTCCTTACACAAGGACACGCGCGAAAAGTGACATCGCGCCGGCGTTTTGGGTTACAAAAAGTTAGATGGCAAATTGATTGGAGAGATGACACACATAGACGATATGAGATGTAAAGACTCGGACTCGAATCCGCGGTCGAATGGGCGCGTTCGAATTCTTAACAATGCGAACGCCCTTGAATATAATGATGAGCAAACACCAGCATCAAACTTTGCCAGTGTGCCCACACCGAATCTCTGCGCCTTGAAGTTGCCGGTAGGTACTATTGAAGGCGTATTCTCGTCTGGTTGCTTGATATGCATGTCTGAGACATTGCGGCAGCCAGTCCGCGGGGTCGTATAAGCCGTGTAAGTTCAGGTTGGTTCGTCCGGATCAGGAGGAATGGCAAGTTTGTGCAGCTACTCCTGCAAGCTAGACTGAAAAGATGAGCGCATCTTCGATAGATGATTTTAGAGCCACATTGGTAGCACACGAACCGCTTGTGATTCTGGTAATGACCTCGGTTCATTTGCAGTACCTCACTTAAACAATGAGCCAGACTTATGTAAGGAGCTGTCGAAGAACCGACACCCGATTTCACTCCAAGATCCTGTATCTCTCTGATAAGATTCCCAATTCCTTTCCAGGCCAATGAAAGCTGCTTCAAGACCACGAGTTCCTTTGGTTATACTCGTATGCGTGCAGTAAGAGAAGCGGGGGGGGCGGTTGAGGAACCCAGACCATTCCACGGATCGTCAACCCGGATCTACCAGCACAATACAACACAACCACTACGACGTTGACAAGCTCCAACCAGCTCGCAGCTTAAGCAGCAAATAAAAAGGCGGGACGAAGGCGCCACGAGAGAGAGAGAGAAAGAGGCGTGTTGATCCATGATGTCACAACCTGTCGACCGCAGCCCCTCAATTCCTTCTAAGTGCGGTCGTCGGGGTGACCCCACTGCAGTTCTACACGCGATAACGGCAACTAAGCGGGCACGAACGGGTAGTCTACCATGTTTGTAGACATCCATGTTTTGGATCGTACTTGAGTCTCACCGAATTGGGATGGCTGTCTTTATGGGGGAAGCCACGGCGTGCGTTGCACGGAACGTGGTTGCTAAGCGGTTTCTGCGTGGAATTAATAAGCTGTCTTGAACTCTCGGAGGAACGACGTCCAATGGAGGCGGGGTTGCTTGGAGTTTATAAGCTACGAGACAGGCATACTCATTCATATTTGTTGACTTTTTTGCATCATCTTACTGCCTTTCGACATATTGAATCCTTTTCATCAGACACAGATATTGCTAAATTGACGAGACTTCCAACATGACTGTCAAAATCTTTCTGTAAGCGTCCCCGTGGTGATTAGGCTCTCAAAAGTCCCCATATCTAATCTGGATCTCAGGACGGGCGTTACCGGTACGAAGTGGCCTCTCTTTCCAACATGCAAAAATCAGGGGCCAATGATTTATTTGATCTTCTTACTAACACAAAAGATCAGGCTATATCGGCGGCGACGCCTTTTACGCCCTTTACGAGAAACACCCGGAATATGAATACGCACTCCTCGTGCGCAATGAAGAGCGCGCCGCCCCCGTGAAGAAGGCGTTTCCCAAGGTCCGCATAGTACTCGGCGGCTTGGAGGACGCGAGCGTAATCGAAAAGGAGGCGGCTGCTGCTGATGTAGTTATTCGTATGTTGCCGTCCGTTCCAAGCTTCTCTCTTCAAGATATTTCACGAAAAGTGCTGTGAGATGGAGGATGGAACCGAGATGAGATGAGAGGCTAACAATGAGAGGCTTAGACACCGCTGGGTCTGCTGATGATGAGCCCTCTGCAAAGGCCATCGCAAAGGGACTGGCAGAGGGACACACGCCTGAGAAACCGGGCTTTTGGCTTCACATCTCGGGTACCGGCATCCTGCAATGGGTGAGACACACAGAGAGAGATTCCTCTTCTTCCCCGATTCAAGCAAATGGCCACTAACACCCCACCACAGTACGACATGAGGAACAAACGCTACGGCGAGGCCCCCCTCCCAGACCAAGACTATCACGACATCCGCGACATTGACCGCATCCTATCCCTCCCCGACGACGCCATCCACCGCGACATTGACAAGATCGTCCTCGGCAGCAACTCCCCCAGCGTCCGCACCGCCATCGTCGGCCCGCCCACAATCTACGGCCGCGGCCGCGGCCCGACGAACCAGCGCTCAATCCAGGTGCCCTCCCTCGCGCAGGCTACGCTGGAAAAGGGCTTCGCCCCCATCGTGGCGCCGGGCAAAGCCGAGTGGGACAACGTCCACGTGCACGACCTCTCGCGGCTTTTTGTAAAGCTCGCGGAGGCGACGCAGGACGCGTCCAAGAACGCCGACCTGGAGATTTTGGGCCCGCGGGCGTATTACTTCGTCGAGAGCGGTACGCACGCGTGGCGCGAGGTTGCCGGGTGGATTGCGGAGGAGGCGTTCAAGCAGGGTTTTCTGCCGACGGCGCTGACCAAGGAGGCGACGATGAAGGAGGTGCTGCAGAGCGATGGGAAGGCGAACGCGACGTGGGGGATGAATTCCAAGAGCAAGGCGGAGAGGGCGCGCAAGTATTTTGGGTGGGAGGCGCAGAGTCGGAGTTTGAGAGAGGATATTGCTGATACGGTTGCTTTTGAGGCGAAGAAGTTGGGAATTGAGCCCAAGGAGAAGAAGCAGTGAAGATGAGCGCACTTGTTAGTATTGATACGACGTTGTCCTGGGATACTTATTGGAAAGAATGACCTTGCACCCGATGGAGAGTTTATTTCTTCTTGATCATCCTTACGAAGAGGGGTAAGTAAGTTTACACATCGAATGAACTGGAGATGAGGCATCTACACTTCCTGGGCCTCCTCGTGGTCAATGGCAAACACAACCGTCATCTCGACCTCGTTGCCCCAGCCGGGGTGAAGACCCATCTCCTGCCACGCCTTCTCAATATCAATCTCCAGGACGCAATCATGGTCCTTGCTGAGGGACACCGTGTGGACCGGGATGACAGAGTTCTGAATGGTGACGAGGAAGTCATCCTCGATTGTCAACTCTGGTAGCTTCGAGATGTAAAGTCCTGTTATTGTTTTCTCTCATCAGCATCATACTCTTTCCTCTTTTTTAAACTTCCCATGTGCTTACCAAAAACGCCGAGCGCCTTGAGACGAGTCTTGAGCTCAACCTTGCCATCGTGCCGTAGCATGAAGTCGCTATTAAGTATGGCCGCGGCGCCAGTCATCTTGCCCACCAGACCCAGGTTGGAGGTCCACACCTTGCCCTTGGTCTCGCTGTCGAACCCGGAGAGCGGGTAGGCAGTGAAGATGTCGTATCCGCGCACGTCCAGCGACACCGTCAGGGAAGACGCGGCCGAGCCGGAGGACACGGGCTTGCTGACCTTACCCGACGAGTGCGCCCGGACGACGTAGCGCATTGAGGGCAGGACGCCGGAGAAGGCTGCGGCGAGCGGGATGATCTCCGTTAGGGGCCGGGCGGAGATGTTGAAGACGCCGAGAATCGGGGTGCCCGTGACGGCGGCGCCGTGGTAGCTGCCAATCTTGAGCAGGCCGTCGTCGTCGTAGCCCGTGTAGGGATCAATGGTCTTGCCGACGACGCTGGGCCGGAAGATGACGGTCTTGCCGCGGATCGTGGGGCCCGTCATCTGCTTGATGAGGTCCAGGTCGTACTGCCCGGGGACGTCGGTGATGTAGATTGGTCCTCCACTGACGCAGCGCGCCGCGGCGTGGAAACCTGAGTAGTCGTGAACGGTCTGGAACATGTCCCAGTCGGGCAGGATGTTGAGGTGCTGCGTGAACAGACTGTTGTGGGCGTTCGTCCAGACGTGCCAGGGGTGGGAGGCTGGGATCTCGGGGAAGAAGTCGTCCGAGTTGCGGCAGAGGATCGCAGGCCTGTGCCGGGGCATCTGGTTGTAAAACATGATCTGCGGCGTCTGCGACATGCAGGAGATGGCCTTGATGCTGAAGTGCCGGAGAGAGGATATAGTCCAGGCATCTAGGTAAGCGTCAATGAGCTCGCGACGTGCCCTGGCCGAGACCCAGGTGTCAGTCATGAACTGGGCGTCCGTCTTCACGCCGTCGATGCCACAGTCAACGAGAAATTTGTAAAAGTCGTTGTAAAACCTATCGACGTCGTCTTTGTCGACTACGGTCATCTTGCCTCCGAGTGGTAGGTTGCGTCGCTCAGCGTCCTCCCGGATCACTTCTACCGTCTTGTACTCTTGTGCAATCTTTCCATCCGGTGAGATACCCGCCCAATACCCTGCTTCAGTCAGCATATTCTATGCTTTGAGATGCAACGAGTCAACTGACCTAGAAGAGCGTGCCAGACGGCAATGTGCTGGATATGCGGATGCTTCTGGCGAATGTGCGCCACGGTGGCCTTCAGGCCCTGAGGGAAAGCTTTCGGTTCAGCTTCAAACTCACACCATCCATGCTGAAATTGGCCATGCCCTCTGTAGTCGATTGTCTGCCAGTTGTCGTCAATGATGAGGCTGGAGACTTTGATATCATTCTCGGCTAGCTTGTCGACAGCGTCAAACACTTTTTCATCCGTGAGGCGTTGCCCAAGAGCATTCCAGGTGCCTATGAAGCGCGTCAGACGGAAATCAGGACAAGAGCGAGAGTTCATGGCATAAGATTTCACGAAACTTACAGTATCCGAGTCCATCGTACCAGTTCTCCATCCACTCTGGTTTAACCCCTTCCTCGATAGCCTTCATTTCAGCCAACAGCTCATCACTGGCCTTTTTCTCTTGAAGAATGTACTGTCTGGCTTGATACATGACACAAGCATTTGCGCTTTCGAAGTTGTCTCCTGTTCCAACTAGGATGGTGGCAGGCTCTGGCTTCGTGCTATCATTACGGGCCTGTGACTAGTAAGCATTGTACTCATCCAGTAGAATAGGATTTAGCGACGCACGTGAACAGACAATTGCCCAGACTCGCTATGGCGGAAAACGGGCAGAACATGGTTGCCTCCGCTGACTGCAAGAAAAACAAGGTGTTTGCCCTCGGCGTTCAAAAATGAGCATAGAACGCCGTCTTTGTCGAGACGAAACGAATCCTTTCCATGGCGAGGAGCCAGCCAGGGCGTCCAGATACGGATAAGAGCAAACCACCTATTCTTGTCAGCATCACATGCTGCTAGATAAAGTTGGAATCGAGGGAGCGAGCCCCCGAGACGATTTTGAACTTGATGCTGGGCGAGCCTTTAAAGATCAGGCTTACCTCAGGAACCCTCCCCAAGGCACGCCTAGCGATATGTCGGCAAACTTGGACTCATCTCCTTCAACGGCATCTATAGTAGCTTCAAGTGACCAAAGCCGAGTTCCGGGACACTGGCTCATCATTGGCTTCACTTTCCATGCAGGGTTCAGATCAGACACGACGTCATCAATGCTTTCGGAAACAGTCTCAAGAATGGGTCTCGAGTTGAGCACCACAGTGCCATCACCAACTCCTAGCTCATCGCGAGTCCATCTCCATGGCTCGTCTGACGAGTGTCGGAACTTGAGTGTGAATTGGAACAATGATTTGAAAGAAACAGGGGCGGAATAAAACAACCGCCGGACATCATTTGGGACAGCTTGCAAGGTCGTCGGAGTGTCTTCGTCGGCGATGCGAGCAAGAGCAGTTTCGCTCCAGTCGGCTCCATCACTCGAGTGCCACACCGCAACTTCCCAGGATTCGCCCGCGCGTGAAGCAGGTATCTCTAGGACTGCGGTGACAGGATGACCACCGTTGGAGACCTGCGTATACTGCCCGAGAGGTGGATAGCTCTGGATGACGGCCTTCATGGTATCGGTGATGGGTCCTGGGGCTGGTTTTTGCTTTGAGACGAAGAGAGACTGAAAGACTTCGGCAAAGTTGTAATTGTCTGATGGCATCTTGATGTCATAAGGGTACGAACCACAAGGGAAGCGTGCAAGTGACGAGGCAATAGTTGATGAATGTCTTATTGATGACGAGTGAAGTGAGGAGAGTCAGAGGCTTTTGCTCAGTTGCTCAAGTTGAAATGCTGTAACATGCTTTCATCCTATGTAGGAGTCTGTGAGACTGACATCTGCAGTGAAGTCAAAAAGGCAGTCCTGTGACCGACCTGCTGCACTAACAGCTCATCCCAAAGGTCTCAGCTGCACGACTGGGAACTTGACGCAAGAGCGGCCGTCGCCTGGCACAGGGCAGGATCCGCTTAATTGGCCAATTGGCATTTGCGGACAGAAGGGAAAGGAGAATGATTCATCGATTGGAAAGAGACAACTTTGCGCCATGAAGCGTAAACCCCAAACAAGACAAGACTCGAATTGCAAAATATAACGAAGGCAAGCTCAAAAACTTCTCTGAACCAATCTCATCTGGTTTCTCACAATTGTTTTTCAGCTGCTTCCGGGGAAAATAAGTCAATGACAAAGTAAAAGATAGATTGAACATACGGTGGATCTGGTGGTGCCAGGATACTGGGGCCGCAGATTAGTTACGTACCTCCTCTGATTGGCTCCAGTTGCTGGGCCGGGGCATTCCGGAAGCCGATTTCGCGCCTCGATTCCAAGGCACACACAGCCTTTCGAAAGGCGAAAGCTTTCTGAGCCGAAACCTCATCGAAAGATTTCATCAAACACCTCATATCACTCCCCATCCTCCACAACTCCGCCATGGCGTCCCGGAGACTAGCTTTGAACCTCTCGCAGGGGCTGCGAAGCCGGGCTGCTCTTTCCAGAGCGAGCCCAATTACCCGGGGCTTCGCTACGCCTTCCAACACCCCCTTCGGCAAGACTCAGACGACAACATTGAAGAATGGACTGACGGTATGCATTCCCAATCTACCCATCCGCTCTGTGGCTCAATTGGCCTCCATAACCGCGTCACGAATTGCATCTGACAGTTGAATTCTAGGTCGCCACCGACTACTCGCCGTTTGCCCAGACCTCGACCGTTGGCGTGTGGATCGACGCCGGCTCAAGGGCCGAGACCGACGAGACCAATGGCACTGCACACTTCCTCGAGCACCTTGCCTTCAAGGTAGGCTAAACAGCGACGACAATGCGATGAGATACACCTGCTGATGCGAATAATAGGGCACCACAAACCGGACGCAGCAGCAGCTCGAGCTCGAGATCGAGAACATGGGTGGTCACTTGAATGCCTACACCTCGGTTCGTTCCCGTCGACCGAAATTATCAAAATTTCCTTCCATTGACATTGTAATAGCGCGAAAACACCGTCTACTTCGCCAAGGCCTTCAACTCCGATGTTCCCCAGACCGTCGACATTCTTGCCGACATTCTCCAGAACTCCAAGCTCGAGGAGTCCGCCATCGAGCGTGAGCGCGATGTCATCCTCCGCGAGTCCGAGGAAGTCGAGAAGCAGATGGAGGAGGTCGTCTTTGACCACCTTCACGCTACCGCTTTCCAGCACCAGCCCCTTGGCCGTACCATCCTCGGTCCCCGCGAGAACATCCGTGACATCACCCGCACCGAGCTCACCAACTACATCAAGAACAACTACACTGCCGACCGCATGGTTCTTGTTGGCGCTGGTGGTATCCCCCACGAGAAGCTCGTCGAGCTCGCCGAGAAGAACTTCAGCGGCCTCCCGACTTCTGGCCCCCAGACCTCTGCCTACCTCCTGTCCAAGCAGAAGGCTGACTTCATCGGATCTGATGTCCGTGTCCGTGACGACAACATCCCCACCGCCAACATTGCCATTGCTGTTGAGGGTGTCAGCTGGAACGACGACGACTACTACACCGCCCTCGTTGCCCAGGCCATTGTCGGCAACTACGACAAGGCCATCGGCAATGCCGCTCATCAGGGCAGTAAGCTCAGCGGTTTCGTTCACAAGCACGATATTGCCAACAGCTTCATGAGCTTCTCCACCAGCTACAGCGACACTGGGTAAGTAGCGTCGACATAGTAAGGGAGAACAATTGCTAACAGGCACTAGTCTCTGGGGTATCTACCTCGTCACCGACAAGCACGACCGCATCGACGATCTCGTTTACTTCGCCCAGCGCGAGTGGATGCGCCTTGCCCGCAACGTCAGTGAGGCCGAGACCGAGCGCGCCAAGGCTCAGCTCAAGGCCTCCATTCTCCTCTCCCTTGACGGCACCACCGCCATTGCTGAGGACATTGGTCGCCAGCTCGTCACCACTGGCCGCCGCGCCAACCCCGCCGAGATTGAGCGTACCATTGACGCCATCACGGAGAAGGATGTTATGGACTTTGCCAGCAGGAAGCTTTGGGATCAGGACATTGCCATCTCCGCCGTCGGAAGCATCGAGGGTCTCTTCGACTACTCCAGACTCAGGGCCACGATGAAGCCCAAGTACTAAATGTGTGGTTTTTTGGCGATTTCCGGGGAGATTAGGGTATAGAGTGTATGAGATACCGTTACAGGCAGGCTAGTGTATCATAAAGACTTCCCTTGTTCATATGTCTGTGACAACCGCAAGCTTAGCACCTTGACGACCTAATTTTACTATGTACTTTTGTAAGCGACGATTCGTTCCTACCTACCTGGATTCAATTGAGCATATTTGACTTGCTGAGTGAGCATGGCATGATGAAGCTTAGCCCTTACGGTACCTCTGCTTCCTACTGTCGGGAGACTCATTGGGGATTTTGCCGCTTTTCATATCAACGTCAATATCTGAGGCTAGATGAGAAGCTGAAGACAGAGCCCGGCGGACGTTGTAATTGGTACTCATGGTCTTGTTGACTGGATTTATTGTGATCTTGATAACAGATTTCCTGGTTCGTCATTACTAGCTAGAGAATTGAAGAACGGCCGTCCTGAGAAAGATCAACGGAGAGGGTTAAAGCCAAGGTTGAGTATCCAGGCATTGATCGGCATCTCCATCAGCAGCATTTAAGGGTTCCGGGTAGAAGTAAACTCGCCTTTTCCCTCGTCCCTAGGCTGAGCTTGTAAGTCGACATAGTGAAGTCAGGCCGATGTAGGAAGACTGTTTCACTGTCACGTCCTGGTATCTGGGTAAGTTGTGCAATTGCAGAGGAAGTGTTCATGCCCAGGAGGCACTCATTCAGCTAGACCTTGATCTGAGGCTTGTCAACAGCCAGGTGTCAGGTCCCTCTAGAGAAACGTAGTTCAAAGTCATATCCTGCTTCATCATTACCCTCTTCTTACGAGTCATCGACATGTATATCGGAATGGGATGGGTGCAAAAAAAAAAAGTTGATGGCTAAGCGGACTAAGAGTGAGTAATACGACAAGGGGTGGCGTCACTGTGCGGTCTGAAATGCTTGTCGCCATCTCAAAGACAAAGCAGATTACGGACATGCCTAGCATTGCATTCCAATAGAAGATCTGTCTTTTCTCTACATGTCCAATGACATTTTTGGTATAACTACATAAAATCATAAAATACCCCTCCCATTCATCCAATAATCTTCATTTTTGTTTCGTTGACCAACCGTCAAAATCGAAATGCATTTATTTACGGTTCATGTGGTCGATGCGGATCTCGACGGCTCTGCGGTGAGCCTCCAGAGCCTCCGTCTTGGCGAGCTGCATGACGGACTCGCCGACGTTGCGCAGGCCCTCGGCCGTTAGGTTGGAGCTGGTGATGTGCTTCACAAAGGAGGCGAGGTTGACGCCCGAGTACTGCTTGGCGTATCCGTAGGTCGCTGTACCATCAGTTAGTCATGGAATATCTCTCATCAATGATGTGCGTAGGACTTACGCAAAGAGTGGTTGACGCCAGCAGAGTAGTCGCCGACACTCTCGGGGGTCCACTCGCCGATGAAGACGGAGCCGGCGTTCATGACCTTCTCCGTCACCTTTTCGGCATCGTTAATCTGAAGAATCAAGTGCTCGGGCGCGTAGTCGTTGCTGATGCGCATGGCTTCGTCCACGGTCTTGACCTGGATGGTGACCGAGTGGGCAATGGCGCCGCGGACAATGTCGACACGGGGCAGGGCCATGGCCTGGTTGTGCAGCTCATCCTCGATGGC